CCAGTCATGACTGGGTCATCAATCATTTGATCTTTAATTTATTACATGAATAATACCTCCCTCTTTCTTATCAGATTATCATAAACTCATCTTAACCTATTAAAGCGCTAATACGAGTTATATCATAGAATTAATAATCAATTATTTCCATGATATGAGTCGTGTTAGCTCTTTAATACGTTAAGATGAGTTTATGATAATCTGATAAGAAAGAGGGAGGTATTATTCATGTAATAAATTAAAGATCAAATGATTGATGACCCAGTCATGACTGGGTATCCAGTCCGACTGGACTGGTGCATACCTAGGTGGGGGTGGGGGTGGGTGTGTGGCGGTGGCTCCCGCCCACACCCACCCCACACCCACCCCCACCCCCACACCCACCCACACCCACACCCGACACCCATACCCACACCCTCACCCACATCCACACTCACCCACATCCACACTCACCCACATCCACACCCACACCCACCCTCGCACAAAAAAAATTATTCAATATGAAGATTAAGGAACTAGGAGATAAGAAGCTTTTGCTTTAAAAGGAACATATGGTCTTATCCTTTAAAAATAAAAACTCTTCTTATGGCAAACAATCCAATATGAAATACATTTCGGGTTAATATTAACTACGCATGAGTAGGAATAATTTTTTTATTTTACAGTTCTAAAAAAATTTTATAAAACAATAAAAAAAGAGATAGTATGTGATCCAAGTCTTTATTATTATGTAGAAATATCCAATAATATGTCACTGTTGTGATCAACTGTCCATAGTTTTCCACTAATATTACTTAATTGCATGAATTTCCCTTTGATCCAAGACCAATCAACATCTTGCAAACTCAATCGATTGACTTGAAAATTCAAACATGGAGTTGGATAACTGCGAAGTGATTGAAGTCGAATTGATTCCAGTTTTCCATCTTGTGGTGAAGAGGAAGGTGATATTGTAAGATGTACTTGAAAAAGTGCGCCGAGATTATTTCGATAGTCTTCATCAATTACATAATCAGCAAGAAAATCACCACAACCATATGTAATTAAACTACGAGTTCCATTTTGACGTTGAACTATTTCTACACCTCGTATATGATGACTAGAATGTCCATGGATTATATGAACACCTTCATTAATCATCCATCGAGCAAGTTCTTGAATTTTCTTATCTGGTAATTTGGACCTCAATGAACTGAAAATATAACCAGATCTGAATTTGCACGAACTGCAGCAATAAGAGGTCCAAGTTGAGTAGAGAGTGATGAAAGATCATAGCGAGCAAGAAGATGAAATGAAGAAACAGAATACCAATCTAATGGATAATCAGACGCAGAAAGTAAACTAACTCTGATTCATATAGAAGAACGAGGCATAGTTGGATTGACAGGTATAGGTTTCGGTTTTTTATCAGTTGCTGACAATCTTATAAGAACATCAAGAAAAACTAGAGCACGAACAGCTTCACATGTTTTACCCGCATATACAAATAATTAGAAGCATGTCGAACTAAGAACGACAGCGAGACTTACCAACATAAGATATGTCAAATCTCTCTAAACTATTACATGTTTCTTCAAGTTCTTTGACTCCAAAATCTAAAGTATGATTATTAGCAAGAGAAACATGATGAATATTTGCTGCAGTTAAACAAGCTATATTAGCAGGATGAGTACGATAACTAAAAAATCAAAGTTTATCAACCATAACATTGAAAAAGAAACCAACTTAATAACATGCTTGAAGACTTTATCGGGCTAGAGTTTATCATGAATAGTAGCAGACGTTTCCAAATTAATGATATTCAAATTTCCCTAATAAATGATGATTTATTTTTAAAAACGATTAGAAAATTTCTTCTACCTCTTTCCATAATGGTAAAGTATTTCCTCAGACGGTGGCATAACTATATCTATCTTCCTATAAATAAGGATAATGTGAACTTCGAAATGATCGAAATTGGCTAACAATAGCAGCTTCTTCTGGATTATGAACAGATGTTGGAAGAAGTTGATCAATTAGACGACCTTCAAATAGAAAACCATTTAACTTAAAAGATTCAATTTGAATTTGAAAGGTCTAATCAATCATAGCATCACCAGCAAAATTAATAACAATATTGGCATATTGTTGATCTGTTGTCATTGTAGACGCTTGTGATGTGAAAAAATGTTTGAAAGGAAATATTGATGTCAATTGAAATAGATGATTAAGACCAAATACTGAAGAAATCTGAATCATATTCACAATTTATATCGAAAAAAATTCTTTTCTTTCTTTTAAAGATAAACTTTTCAATCAGTTCATATCTCGAGAATTATCAACGCAAATTTTGATCAACTGTGCTTTTTTTCCATTGTTGTCTTAAGTATCGATTTGTGTATTCTGTCAATAGAGTTCTCACTATCGCCTTGATTTCTTATGCATTTATGTTGTTAAGTTTGATTGGCGTCATCTCACTGACATACAGAAGCGAAACGAAAAAAAAAATTTTCATTGGGTACAAATTTTCTTAATCGATTATTTATCGAAAATTTTGAGGAAACAAAAAGTGCATAGTTATTAATTATTGAATTGATTTGGATAGACGATTTGATAATCGATATCGAGTTTTTGACGTCGTTGCTTGATATTTGCAAGCATCTTTTTACAAGCAGCTCGTTGTAACGTATCAGCATCGTTATAAAGCCAGGCAGCCCAATCGAGTAATCCAGCAGCGAATTCTACTTTGTCTTGTTTACCATATTTTTCTGCTTCATCTGTAAGATAATTGGCAATTTCATTGGTTAATCGAATAAGAAGATCTTCGTCAAAATCAAACATAAGTACCTTGTCAATATATTGTGTAGCCCATTCAGTATAATTTTTGATTTTAGCACAGAATATAAATATTTGAATAACACAATTATAATCGTAGACCTGGGGTACAATATCAAGAGCTAATTGGCCTGAAACAATAAGAAATACAGACATTTGAGCAGCTTGTTGCTGCCGAATGAAATCGATGGTTGGTTGAACTTTGGTAAAAGTTTCAAGTGGATAAGTAACACGACGAAAACGATCTTTCATCTTTTCATTACTGGCTGGTAGACCAATATATTCGTCCAACCATATAACAACATGTCGATGTAGTTTTTGTGCATAGTCACTATTGAATTCCATCGAGTTTTTCTAAAAAATAGGATCCTATAATTAATATCTTGTTTTTAATAAGCGTAAATTTCTTCTGAGAAATTTCACTTGAACAAAGTCTTTATATATTAAAGTGAAAATATTTCTCAATCCTTCTATTAGTTATATAGTCATATATTTTTGAGTGAGAAAACATGACTCATCATATTATTTTTTTTTGCTTGTCAGTCTTACTTCTAACTGAAAAACATGGTGCAATACTCAAGTTTGGATTGTATGTATAGAAAAAAGAGAGAAAATAAAAGCATTATTTTTATTAGTTTATACCCAGTGAAAAATATTCTCTGATTTCAATCAAATTATTGTGCAACAAAATCCAATCCGTAATCGGATTGATAATTTTGATTATGATCGATCACCATTTAACCCAAACTTGATGTTATTGCTATCCCAGTGGGAATTAGTTTGAGTAAAATCGAATTGTTCTGTAGCACAATTCAAAATTATCAATCGATTGACAATGTGGATTTTACTGGAAAACAATCCGATTTCAATTAATCTAATTTCCACTGGGCTAGCAATAGCATTAAGTTTTGGTTAAATGGTGGTCGATTAAAATTAAAATTATCAATCCGATTGCGGATTGGATTTTGTTGCACAATAATAGGCGTCTAACATCAAGAATCTAACTTAACAATGGTACAACCAATTTTTACGTGATCTGGTACTTAAGGGTTTCAGATCATGCTCTTTCTTTTACCTAGCGGACACTTTTCATGAAAATGCTCGGAAGTAGGTTTTCTAGAAAACCATGGCTTTTTGACACACTGCTCGAATAAAACACTGTTTTTAACAAAACCAAGGAATGATGAAGCACTTCTAATTATATGGCTGTACTCAGCAGAGAACGGGCTACATTTTGAAAAAAAATTAAGTCTTTAACTTCAAGTCTCAATTATTTTATTTTATTTTAATCTCTCTAATTTCAACTTTTTTTGATACTCAAATTACTCAACAGTGAAAAGTGATGAAGAACGCATTCGAATTGCATTGGATAGAGCATAAAAAACAGAACAAAACTAGGTATTTGTCGAGGTTCAGATATCACGAGGTCTTGGTTTTCCGCAGGGTTTTCTGAAAATCCTTATGGAAAAAATTGAAAAATATACGTTTGTAATTGACTGAAAGT